ACGCAAGTAGCACGATTTATTATTTTGATTATTGAACACAGGAAAGCTTTTCCGAGTTAGACTTTTCAGGAGAGTCTTGGCCATGTTACCGTAGTAGGGGTCAACGTTGTTTTCCGTAATCCCGACTGGGTGAAATTTAATTGAGTAATTTGTGGGTAATTTTTCAGCATTGGGATGTTTGGTCAATGGCAGTCACATTGTGTGGTTGCTTTTAGCTATGGGAGGAAACCGCAGAACCCGGAGGAAACCCACGCAGAACATGGGGAGAGAAAAACAAAAACTCAACAGGGGAAAGGCGCCCGAGTCGAGAATCAAACCCAGACCCTTCTCGCTGTGAAGTGGCAAGCGTTGAGCCACCTCACCTTGCCGCCTAGCAGAGCGATTAGGGTTGTGACTGTGCACTACTCTGGAGTGCCTTCATTTACAACAAAAATAGTACTGAGCCACTTTATGTGCCACTCTCGTAGTGTTTTAAAAAATGTGAGCTTTTGTTTTGTCTGTTGGCTTTGTGTCGGAACTCTGGCAAATTTGAATTGCATTTTGAGGATTGGTTTCACACGGACGTCTCCGCACCTGCCCCTTGCCTCTTTCATTTTGGCCACGGAGGAATTCGCCGCGCGCATATTAAATGAAGTGATAAATTATGCATCTTTCACGGAATATGGAAACATCTTCGGAGGGTTTAATGTCATCAGATGTGATTACGGTCACGTTGACAAATTACGCGCACCGGGGCCGCTCGCTCTGGGCGGATGCTCATGGCGGGTCGTTTCCTCCGTCCGCGCCTCCTGAACGTCTAAAAATGACGGAGCCGGAACGAGTCGACGACTGGGAGACCCAGGGCAGTTTGGTGTTTTTATTTTTTTATTCCTGTTTCGTCCGCGACCCGTGGGGTGCGCCGCGCGCGTCGCGCCGCGGCGCCGCGCTCCTCATGCCGAAGGGCGGCGTCGCGATGACCGCATCGCGACGACGGCGCGGTGATGGATTCCCCTTTGCCACGGAGGCAATATTGAACAGTGCAGAGTGGCTCATGTTAGGCTTTTAATTCGTTTCGTGAAAACCTCGATGCTAAATCGTTTATGGCAGGCAGAGGCGAGACGCGCTTTGCAAAATGGCAGCGCAGCCACGCAATTTGGTGTCTTAACTGCACGGGGCAATCGCAACTCTCACACTTGGCAAGTTTATTTTTAACTGGATGCTGTTGCGCACAGTGGAGCACATTCCACCGATCCTCGCGTCCCTCACACAACCCCCAACACCTTTCCGCACGCCCCTCACCGCATCCTGGTTTTTATTTTACTCTTTTAATTTTAAACCAGGCAGGGCCCATTGAGCTGCACAGCTCTTTATCGGAAGCGACCTCAATGTGCGTATGTATGTTGAACTTCGTTCGTGCCGTACGGAGTCAAACGTGCTAATTGGCCTGGCCGCTAAGTGACTCATCACGTGGAAATGTAAAGCAGCCAAACACTATGAATGAGTGATGTTCATTCTTAATGTGGAGGCAAAAACGGGAGGACCCGGAGAAAAATCCACGCGACCACTTGGGGAGAGAGACACGCAAACTTCAAACATACAGCGGGCGTCAGGGTCGGGATCGAACCCACAACCTCCTGTACACCAGGTGAGGTGGTTAACATCTCACCACAACGGTGCCTATCACTCAGCCCATTACCCCCCCACCCCCCCACGATCTCGCATGATCCCACACTCTCCCGTGTGACTCTGTCTCCCCGAAGTTTGCACTCCACACCATCTCTCGCGTACACGCCTTTGCTCCTCCGGAACGAATCGGCGCATTTGTGCTCTCGTATTAACAGTGCTCGATCTAACGCATAGCCGTCCCTTATTTATGACTTGGCGTTCCCCCGGGGGTTGGGGGGGAGGTAAATTGCTCGGGAGATGAAGAGTTTGCTTCCTGTTTTATTCACGGAAACATTTTTTTTGATCAAAAAAGCAGTTGTAGGCGTTTAAACACAGGCGTAGTCCGTTCAGGCAGTAATTTGCACGCTCGTTGAACAAAGTGGGCACGGGTTTTAAAACGACGACGATGTTCAACGTTCACGCGACCCCAATAAAATGAATGGTCCATCTCTACACCTCGCGAAAGAAGTGTAATTTAGTTAATCCAAGAGGATGTCACCCAACATCCCGGGATTAATTAGTAAATAGGGGTATACATTACGCGTAATACCTTTGCAGCCAGCATAGTCTCGGTTAATGGCCTCGGCAGTGTCCATTCTTCACGCACGGATAGGCAGGCCCTACTTTGGTGCACGCTTGCAGCTTAAACGTCATCGCAAATTATTACGATTCTCTGGGAATGGGTTGGAAGCATTACAGACCAGGTGGTCACCCTTCCTGAGATGGCCCGCTAATGCGGAATCCGCGGGTTAACCAAAATGCGTACGCTTGCGTATGGGGTGTCTACTGACAATGTACGTACGAATATGAAACGGGGGGGGGGGGGGGGGGTGGGGTGAAGCCTCGATAATAATGAATTTGTCTACATTGGCCTTCAAATGAGCCACAGGTCAGTTTCTTCAGCTGTCAGCTGTCAGACAACAAGTACTACCGGGAAAAGTGGTACTGTGGGAGAGGTGTCACTTGTATGCCACCGTGCCCCTGACTGCAGCTATCACGCAGCTTTGCAGTGAGTCTGACATAGTCTGGCGGCCTGCCCCACCATGGATGATTACCACATCCTGCAATCTGGCCTCACTGCAGACTGCCACTGGGCTCAAGGTTTTAGCTGCCGTGGTGCTCTCTGTTCGTGCTGCTGCTGCCCCCCGGACTTGAGTACTAACACTGCTCTATAAATCGGTCTCCTGCTACAGCAGATGTTCAGTCGACGCACTTTACATAGAGACTAGCTCACCGAGTTTTAAGGTCATAATAGATGTGTTATTGAATAACCAGCCAGGATGGACAACACGGTCAAGTCTAACTGTTTGTACAAAGCTGTGTGTAAAGCTAGGGCGATATTTAATCTGCGTGGATTAAATATCGCCCGTTCTATAGGATTCGGGGGCGAGGGGTGGTGCGTCAAGCGTACGTACACAGGTGGGGGGGGGGGTGTAAAAAGTACGCGTGCGTACAGGGAGAGGGGTCAAGTTTTGACAGATTTTTGTGTACATACTCAATGGATGGCCCCTATTGCGTCGGCGATGCCTCGGCCCGGCTCCGCGGTCGTCGGCGTGCGCTCACCAAAGCCCGCGGTGCCAAGGTTAACCTTGGGCCTCATTTGCCACGACTGCCGCACTCGGCAGAGCGTGGTGGGGTCCCGGCGTTGCGCCGAGATCCTTCTGTCCGCGCAGCGGCCGGTGGTTCTCGGCCTCATCGACGCGGGACGGGGAGCCTGCGGCGTGCCTGAGAGGAGCGCGCCGGCTGCCACGGCTCCTTCGCTCCCCTTCAAAAGCGGAAAGTCACCAAGCGAACCGCGCAAAGTCCACTAAATGTCGCTAAGTAGACAGACCTTTACAAGTCGTTGAAAAAAAATGTCATGAGGTGATTTGTGGACACGATTCGTTTGGATAGAGCTTGTGTGGCATCTCGGAGTCGCCTCGCACGCGATAAGCGCCTTACATCACATCTCGTGTTCAATGTCAGAAGGAACCCCCCCCCCCCCCCCCCCCCGTGGCAGCTGTCCCTGTGTGGCACAAGGTGACGCAGCAGCTGGCCTGCGAGTGGGCATTAGTTTGCCAGTGGGGGGTGATGATTTCTGCCGCTCGCGACGTCCCACGAATGCACGTTGATTTGTAGGCGAGGGAGGTCTCGCGACACCGCCGCCGAGTTTGCGATGCTGCAGTTTGCCCATCTTGACCCTGGCACGAGCTGTGACGCCACGAGGTCACCGTGGCACGCGTCATGACGTCACCTGCCCCTTGCTCGTGCGCCTGGCCATGTTGGCTTCACAATTGCGGGAAATAAAAAAAAGAGTTTGCAAGTAGTGCATTGCTCTCTTTTTTTCACTGTATTGCATAACCTAAGTTACAATTAAACTTTGTCGAATATATATAAATGTATATCTTTTTTCAAACGTCACTCCCAGCGAGCCCTGGTAATCAATCTATAAAGAAATTTGTATTTTTACAAATTTCTTTATAGAGCGATGTAGCTCTTTTTCAGAAGCGACCCGGCCATAAATTATAGCTCAACGAAGTTGCCCATGTGGATAAAATATAATTGGGAATCCTACCTCTGCTTAGCATGGTTGGCTACGTAGGGTGAGAAAGAAGTTCAACATACATATTTCTAGCAGCCAAATATTCTAAATGCTTGATGTTGATTCTAAATGTGGAGGGAAAAACCGGAGGACCCGGAGAATAATCCACGCGACCACGGGGAGAGAGACACGTAAACTCCAAATATACAGCACCAGGCAACAGGGTCGGGATCGAACCCACAACCTCCTGTGTACCAGGCGAGGTAGTTAATATCTCACCACCGTGGTGTCCCAATCCTGCCCTGTGGCGGTTTGACCTCTTCACATGGGTCAGTCATTAGGGTACTGTGGGGGTGAGGAGGGTTGTAAGGGATGGACGCCGTGCGGCTGTGGAGACCCCGACATGCCTCAACTCCGCGAGGATGCTTCTGCGCACGCCGGACCTGTCGCTGACAAGTGCAAACCTTCGTAGGCCTCGGGCCTTCGCGCTTGAAGCTCGAGCAGCCTCCCACCGTTTTAAGGATCGCGCATCTTCCCCGTTTGATGTCGAGCCCACGTTTGTGGGCTCGACATCAAATCCACGCGACCACGGGGAGAGAGACACGTAAACTCCAAATATACAGCACCAGGCAACAGGGTCGGGATCGAACCCACAACCTCCTGTGTACCAGGCGAGGTAGTTAATATCTCACCACCGTGGTGTCCCAATCCTGCCCTGTGGCGGTTTGACCTCTTCACATGGGTCAGTCATTAGGGTACTGTGGGGGTGAGGAGGGTTGTAAGGGATGGACGCCGTGCGGCTGTGGAGACCCCGACATGCCTCAACTCCGCGAGGATGCTTCTGCGCACGCCGGACCTGTCGCTGACAAGTGCAAACCTTCGTAGGCCTCGGGCCTTCGCGCTTGAAGCTCGAGCAGCCTCCCACCGTTTTAAGGATCGCGCATCTTCCCCGTTTGATGTCGAGCCCACGTTTGTATTGGCGTCGCATCTGTGGTGTAGTTGGTAGCGAAATGCCACTTCTGGTATTCAAAGTGAGGGCGGTGTCATTGGCAGCAGACGTCTTCACGTTGCCACTCGCACAGCGGGCGGTTCTGGTGCTAATTAAAACAAATCGTGTGTTGTTGCAGAGCATTGCGGGTAATACATACACTGACCAACATAAACTGAGCAATGTTTGGTCTCTCCGCATAAACATAACGGGGTTTCTGTGAGCTATGGGTTTTCCAGGTGAATATTATCAAGTACCGTTTAAAACGAGGAAACGTGCTACTGATTTAGACTTTTTTTTGGATCTCATCGACAGTCAGGCTTGTTGAGCAAATGCTGCTCGGTTGAGATTTACTGCTGTCAGCACGAAGCGTAGCCAATCCGAGCCGACTCTGCGAGGGACAGCGTGGGAATTTAAAATGGAACATAACACGATCATCGTTCGAATTACTTTCAATTATCCTCAAAATGTTTGCCCTGGGCGTGAGTACATATCGGCTGTATGGGGTCGTTTTATCACACTGAGCAAAGGGTGGGATTGAAGTTATCTTGGGAGTCTGTGATGTGTCCAGGCACGCAGACGGACAGCGTGAATCTCCCTTTCCCACGATAAGAACGATCCTTGCGCGCAGTTCCTCACTCCAAACGGAATTCAATAATCTTCGCCCACCGCTGCCACCCTTCGTGCGGCAACACCGTTTCACAGTACAAGGTCATACGTTGAACACACTACTTCGCCTAGTTTATAACTGCGCGTGCATGCCTCTCTTGACAAAGAGACCGTGGACAATGAAAATAATAAAATGCAGATGCAAACGGAGAATAGAAGACAGGGCGCACACAACACCACGTAGAACACGGGTACGGTACGGATCCCAGTGGCATCTCGACGCAAACCGAAATCTCGAGACGCCGCATGCGACTGTGGACACATCCATCTTTTGTCCAGAATCGGAGGTGCGGAGGACGGTCCTGAGTCTGGACGACTTGAGCAGAGGCGGGGGAGTCGACAGCACGGACGGCTGGGAGAAGGGGAGTTCTAGAACGTAGGGGTCACAGGGTGGGGGGGGGGGGAGAGCTGCCCATCGCAGGGTTGTTAGGGGAGCCTTAGGGGTCTACTCAATGTATCCACACGCTGCGAGGGGCTGGTGGTCGCCCTCTTCGAGAAGAGGGAGCACACCCCTTGTGACGTCCCCTGGGACATCTGCCCTCTCGGCACGCCAGCCGAGGGGCTTGCCGGGGATTATGCAACATCGCCTTACCCAGACACGCGCACACTTAACCCTCAATGCACGCACGCACATACACGTAATCACACGCACACACACGTAACCCTGAATACATGCACGCGCAGACACACACTCATGTAACTCCTAATACATGCACACACACGTAACCCTTAATACATGCACAGACGCGGATACTGATGCGCACACACCTAATCCGCAATACATGCACACAAGACAAAGATTCCCCGAACAGCCTGAACAGACTATTGGGCCAAGTGCTGTTAGCGAGCACCTGTGAAGGCCGACACGGCACACCAGTCGGCCTCGACGCACGCACGCACTCACACACAGACACGTAACCCTGAATACAACAACAACCGCCATTCGCCACTAAGTGGCGGTGACGTCACCACGACGCTTGTGCCAAGGCCATGTGCACCTTGAGGTCACGTGAAGTGAAGTGTCGAATGCCCGCTGGCAGGAGGTCACGGGGCAGACCCAGGTGCCACGGGTCGACTGACTGAGATGACTGGCTGATGCACCACCTGTGCCCCCTACTGTGCCAACCTGCTGTGCTTTAGCCACCCGGCGCTCCGCTCGTTGTTGTGAGCGTCGCTCCTCCGCCCTCCGTTGTTGTTGGAGGGCGACTGCCTCCAACTGCCCAGTAGCGTCCTTCACGAGCCTCCTCCACAGAGGCCGATCTTCACACCGCTGGTACCAGTCATCGGCAAGTCCACTCAGCTCCACGTCCTCCTGTACCACATCACTCCATCTCTTCTCTAGCCCGTGCCGCGCCCGTTTAGCCCCCTCGATCCGGCCGAACAAAAGCTGTTACGGCATGCAGTGGCTGGGCATACACACGCGTGCACACACGCACACGCACGCACCGCAGTCACCGTGAGTTCCCCGTAATCCCCCGGCCGCCCTCCCCTGTCACTGCCCCCCGCCACCTCGCAGCGCTGCCACTGTGCGGCCCCATCCACTAATCCCCCCCTACCCACCTCCCACTTGTTAACTATTTGTTATTCCGCCATCTCCTCCCGCCTAACCCAACGTTGGAAAACTATGTAACATCTGGGCCAATGTTCAGTGCATCGCCCCGCTATAACTCAACTTACGCAATTATCGCCAATGAGCGTAGACTTTGAGATTACGAAATGCTGTACGGGCTTTCCGCAAAAATGTCTAGTTCACCTCTGTTAACAATGAAAACACAAATTTGGCGTGCAGAGAAACCTAGAACGCTCTCATTGCTTAGTCGTTCAGTCTGAGATCGGTCTCTCCTCCTCGCGGTGTCTGTCCCTTCGTCGTTGCGTCTTTCAACCGAGGCGGCTTCCATCACCTCCGATATTTGATGTTTGTTTCTTTGCGGCGATAGAAGCGGAGAGTATATTTCTACTGGAGCATCGGTGCAGATGTATTCCCATCCCCGATGACGTCACGGGATAAGTGGATTGTCGCAGATAAGCAAATTTGCGCGATGATCTGCGCTTGCATCGTGTGGAATAATTCGTGGGCTCTGATATAATATAATTCACGTTCGCTTCGAAGTAACTGATTCTAGGTTTTTTTTATTTTCACGGTTGTATTTTTTGGGTTAGGCCACGTAACGATCTGGCCAAAACGATGCCATAACACAGCCAAGCAAATTATATTGTCACGTGGTGTACGAGCGATTGACGATGCGCCAGTTATTCTTGTTTCAGCTCACACCAGTGAGTTGAAGAGCAAAACCTCAGCCTAATCTCTGCAATGAGATAGACAACGCTTTGCTTGAAACTGCACAAAGGATCAAGTCAGAATCACGGTGTCCTCTGTTCCGCCTTCTTCGACAGGTGGCGTGACATCACAGAAACAACCAATGGGATTTAAATTGGATTCAAACTGTTACAAAGATTGATTCATTGGGAACTGAAGCTTAGGGTAAATGTGTTGCTATTCGGGTCTCACTGGGCAGATAACTGCAAAATTGATCATAGAATTCCCCAAAGCTCAGATTAAAATCAGCAATGAATTTGAAATCCTTTTTCCCATGGCGATGATGTCACGCGCCATGCGCGAGCATCCCGATGATGGCATTACGCGCGACGTCCCGCACCTTGTGACATCATCTCATTGTCTTGTTCGAACACGAACATTATTCGTCATCATCAGCCATGATCAATCCACCGCTGGATGAAGGTCTCTGCAAGCCGCCGGGCCGCCTCCCCTGGTCTTGCGATACGATGATCCACCTCGAACTTGCACGTGAGCCGATCGCGATGCTCCGTCTCCTCTAGGATGCGTTCCACTCCTTGACTGCCGCTCCGTCACTATCCGTTGGCCATTGGCCGTCGTCCCCCTTCGAGCGACGGGGTCTGCCCGAACCCACTCGCCTTTCCTTGACGGTGTCGATGACGCCATTCACCGGCTGCGCACGATCTCTAATCCACAAGCTCCTCCCTGCCTCTGTCGCTCAGTGCGATTCTGAGTGGGCACCTCTCCACGCTTCTTTTTCTGCGCTTGTCGTTTGCGGTTCTTCTTCCTATTTTATTTTTTATTTATTCAGGAACGTTCCCCATGCCTGATCCACGTCGTAGCAAGCGATGCGCATTTTGTGAAAAAAACATTACCCGTCATTAAATTAACAAAACGCAAGTTGGAATGTCCTCATAGAATCCACGCGTGTGGATTTTTTTCTTTGTATCTCCGGTGGAGAGTCGCGTGCCGATGTGAGAGAGACGACTCTTGCGACTCCACCGTGCTCTGACCACTATGACTCGGGTTTGGCAGCGGCACTCGACTCACCCTCCTTCTTTGCGTGAGGTGCAAGAGAGCCGGTGCATCGTGGCATTCACGTCACTGTGACAAACGGAACCAGTCTACGATACCGCGGGGAGATTGCCGTTCCACCTCGTCTCTGTCCACGCTGGATGATCGAACCAGCCGTGTCCTTTGACGGCGAGTGTACATTGAAGAGGTGGCACGCTCTCTTGCATTGCAGGTATTTGTTTTTTGAACGTGGCAATGTCTGTGGTGTTTCTTGATCTGCACACGTGAACCTCCTGAACCAGGATTCTAAACGTTGGGGAGACGGGGAATGCGGCCAAGCTGCCTCTGTTGCGTCCGCTCCTCCAGGCTCCGTTGACCTATTTTCGTCACGTAATTTACATGCAGGTTCTTGGGGATTGACAGATAATGGAACGATGGGATCCCCCCTCCCCGCACCCCCTGGCGGTCAGTGGGACCCGTGGAAACGTGGGCGACGCAGGATGTGGTTCATTGTCCCTCGGATACACTTTGGTTTACATTTCATCCTCGCTGTTGATACGTGGTGTAAAATAAGCGTGAACCACAGGAGCAATCGCTTGCCTTCTTACTGTACCTTGTAATCAAAGTTTGGCCAATATATTTTCGTCTCCCAAGCCAGGAGAAAACCCACCACGTGTGTGCCTGGAGAGGAGGGTTTATGTAACGCCTGTTAACGCGTGGGTGAGAACCTACCCCAGACCTGAGACGTGATTTGCACGTTGAATTGCAGAACCCCCCGCAAGCTGTCCGCGGTGATTGGAATCCATTGCTTACTCTCGCGTCTTTACTCCTCGAATCGATTTTTCCCAGCAGAACATAAAGTGACGTTATCGGAGACTGTTGGAGTGTACATTGTAGAAAATAAAAATAAATTAACCGCGACATTGCATGTTAAGGACGACAGCATGGAACGCAGCGCTATCTCGAATTAAAATTTTCCCCAAAAATCATACCGAATAATGTATCGCGAGATATAGACCCCTTTGTCAATCCACCGCTGGATGAAGGGGCCTCCCCTGCCATGTTGTGGGGATCAATTTGACCATACTTCACGCGCCGCTCAGTGCGGATGTCTGAAGATGGGTCCAGGAGCGGTGCAGACGTCGCTCGCCACCGAGGTTGGCCACGGCCGGGAATCGAACTTGGGCCACCGGGTTCATCGCGGCAGCGTGCCAGACACCGCTGCAGCCCGGCAACCCCCTCCAACTGATAAAGCCACCGGCTAATAATCCACATCTACCTCACAATGCAATGTGACCTTGGGATGGGTAGATGCTCCCTGTACAGTGTATAGAGATTGCATTTTTAAAAATACTAAATTCTATTTTGTGTGTCCAAAAAATAACTATTTGGATGTTAGAAGCACAGACTCGTATCTCAGGGTCAACGGTGCGTTGCGTCTGTAAGGTCACAAACAGCCCCGCACGATTGATTACTGTTCAAGGAAATAAAGATGTAATTTGTTATTGAGGTATCAACAGCACTGTTAAGCCAGATAAAATTAAAACGTGATTGGTTTCGGCTCAGGAGGATGTTTTAACCTAGGTATGAATTTAGAAAACAACCAAAATTAGCGATTTATAATTAGGTTGTATGACGGATGCACATTAGCTCTTTTTTGGAGGTTAGATTTCAAGATTTTCTGATAATTATCTGCCCTCAGTAGAAAATGCGAGACTATTGTCAGTGCAAATGGTGAAACTGCTGAGGAAGGGGTAAACGCGGAGCATCGCCTCGGCTGCTCGCGAGGTCGGAGCTGGGGAGGAAGGGGGTCGGAACGTTCGTTCGGAGGCGTTTATTAATATCGCTCTTAAAATATTGCGGGACGTAACACTTACAGAGGCTGTACTTTGGCGATTTTACTTATAAGCTAAAACGCTTTCGTGGGGTTGTTTGCGTTGCTGAAAGCTCACATGTATGTAAGTACGTTGAACTTCTTTTGCACCATACCTAGCCAACCGCAACAAACTAAACAAAAAAAGCAGTTCTCGAGAAATGAGTACCAGCAATAAAAGGGGCGTTTGCCG